ATTTGTAGCGTACACGTAAAACCTTTTTAGTCAGATAGAGAATGTTTTTTACAGAGAATTTGGTATCAGAAACACACGGTTAATCTCGTCAATCGTGTGAGCCGGTTACAAACAATTTTCTCACATATCTCTCGTCAACTTGTTCATTGTAATCATAAACTATTTAAAATCTCATCAGTGTCTCTAATCGTGCAAATAATTACTTTACAGCGGTTGGGGATAATGTATGAAATACATCAGGGACCTTATGCACCAACTAATGAAAGTCTTCGCACCTACGCTGCTACGGGAATATTGCAAGCTGTAGTAGTCTCATCATAAAAGGTAAGTAATATAACAATATTTCGCGTTATATGAGATTTGGTGACAAGAAACTGCGTTCTAAATATATTATTTAGTTCTAAGCAATTTAGTACAATTTACTATTCTAAATAGGAGGTCGAGCGTCGCACTGGAGTATAAAGTAGATCTTGGCAGCGTGTAATTGTTTCGGCTGTTTAATTACAACGCGACTGTTCCCAGTACACACTTAAAACAACAAGACTCTAGTTATATCATTAAAATTAATTAAAAGTTATCAAGAGCTCAACGCTACTTCGAATCGGCTTCATTAGAGAAATGTAGTTAGCATTTCCGTTCTGTTTGATAATAAATAATTGTTCGGACTAGATATACGACCTAGAATATCTACAAATACGTTCAATATTTATAGCCAATATTTATAGCATCAATGTATATATTAAAAACAGTTTTTCTTTTGCAAATTATATAGATAAAAATTAAAAGGTTACGACTTAGTCTTTGAAAAAGTTTTCCAATTAAAATTTCATCGGTCTGATCTTAAGTCTTTTTTTATGCACATATGCAATGCGAAAGTAATATATTTATTACGAACTAAAGGAAACAACCTTTAGGAAAAGAACGTTTGCATCGTATACTTCTTTGTCATTTGTCGTCTTTTATAATGTAGGTACCGAATATTTCGAATACTAGTGTTTAAAAGATACTTAATTAACTCTACGCTACACTTTCTTATCAAGATATACGAAGGATGGTAAACGTGAGAGATTTTCTTTCTTATCATAAATGTTTTATACGATTAAAATCATAGTACCTGGATGACCGTATTTGTATTTGATGGTATTTTTTTTAAATGTGTTTTTTGGAAATTATATTTAAGTACGAATTACTAATAAAATGATGAAATATGAATATTATTTTTCGATCTTACTGATAGAAAAAGTTAAGTTTATGTCTAAGTTGATTATGGATAAAACACGAATAAAATGACATTTTCTAAAAATGATTCCTAGCTAGATCGATTTATCGCCCCCAAAACCACCTATATACAAAATTTTATGAAAATCGTTGGAGCCGATTCCGAGATTCCAATTATATATATATATATATATACAGGAATTGCTCATTTAAAGATATAAGATTAATGCCATGTCATAGTATCTTTCATACGATGAGTCAACTATCGTATAAAAGATAATTGCTATAAATTGCATTAGTGCACTGTCGTAAAATGCTAGGACCTTTTTCGAATTATGATGACCACATCGTGGTAATTGATTTGTACCATAACACGACATATTATGTGCACAAATATTACAAAAAATACTTTAAAACTTTTAGAATTAGTATTTTTATAAAGTGATCTTAACATTAGCATTACCGCGCTATGTTAGAATTTAAATTAAATTATTTTAACATAGAAATTAAAAAATTTATATAGTATAAAAATAATTTGCTTAAAATTTTAAAATCAAAGCAGAAATAAATTTAAATGTGCAAATTATTATTGTAAAATGTAACAAACTTTACTTACCCCCAAGTTGATTAAATTTAATAATATTTTAAATCCTTATAATTCCGCTACAGTTCTTAATAAACGTCAACACAGACACAAGCACGATTATTTACGCGAACCAATTTACAATTTAATGTTTCAGTCAATGTTACGCAGAAACGTAACCGTTCGTAACTGTTCAATTCATGCCCTCCGACTCCGGCCGACAACACACGCGAATCCAAAATACGGAGCTCGCAGAAGCCGGCTACACGATCTGTTGTCCTTCAATACATAAACAAACTCACTACCGGACTGAAGATAGCCGCATGTCGGACGCTACTATAAAAGTCTTTTTTTCTGGCTAACAACAAAAAATTTAAAAAACATACGGACTAGATATTTCTTTATCAATAAAAGTTTTATCAAAATATAATTTCCAAACATTCGATATAGATAGAATACAAAATTATAACCGATTCGGCACATTGAGTGCACCCAATGTTAGCGCTAGTGTGACGTACATGAACTTCCGCGCACGCGCTATTAGGGCGGACGATGCGCTCTCAAATATAAAACTAATTTGAACTTTATTCCTAAAACAGAGTAGTCTATTTTTACTTTGGCAAAAATTCTTCTTGAGCTTTTAAGACAATGTTAATACAAAATAAACTGTAAGCTTTAATGTTAGAGTTTAAAATGCGATAATATTATAATAAAATACTGCAAGCGGATACATCACGTGCGTTCCGAGGGGCTGGAGCTGATTGCAGTTAGGTGAACTCACGTCGCCCTCCGATCTCAATCCTAGTTTAGGGTTTCAAAGCTATTCGAGTAAATTCGACCCGACCTAACATACGAGGCGACTATTTGCTGCGAGAGATAAAACTTTATTTTATAGGTGTACTTTTATGTTGCTGTTTGAACGTCTTGTTTATCCCTACTAAATTGAGGATATCTGCAATACATATAAATGTCTACGTCTCGTAAGCTTTTTAGTTCGCCATACAAAAAATAGGGTGTATCTTACTTATTACTCACTTCGGAAGAGGATTACAAAAGCAGATTTTTTATTTAAGTTATTAGTTGTCGAAAATAAGTATAAGAAAGGCTATTTTCATGCGACTAATTTGAAATTTTAGGCCATCCTTGAGATGGATGTAGGTTAATGTAGCCAGCCAGTTACAGAACAGTTACAATTCAACGATGCGTTATCATTTAAGTTTTTAATAATTTAATAATGTTAGCAAACATAAGCAAACTATATTTAAAAGTATTACGTAGATAAAGCTTAGAATAATAGAAAAGGCTTTAAAAACATTTTACTGCATAAGGAGTTATGGTCGTTGTATTAGACTTGGCTTTTTTCCAATATTAAGCCTTAGGGACTAATATGTCTGGCGGCTAGAAGCATCTTTTCATTACTTAATTTTTTTACTCTTGCCGACTAAAATTAAAACAGACTCATTTATATGTTCAATAGAATTTTAGTCATCTCACATTTCTACTACAGAACGAAAAAATTATATAATACTTATGAAAATTCGATTACTATTATCGTAATTTTTAATTCTTCACCCACAAAGCCTTTTTACGCCGTGCCCAAAGCTTTTTTTAATATGACACGCACAGTTTAATTTATGCATGTCTGAGGACCAACTTCACAGCCATTTTGTTGACTTCGTAATCGATTTCATAGCTTTCTATAGCGTTACATTACATTAGTCTGATACCAAGTCTATTTAACACCTACCAGATTTAATTTCGAAATTTTTATAGATGTATGTGACATAACTTAAGCAAATTACTTTAAGAAATCACTTAACGGCATCCACATAGATTATATTTATCGCAATTGTCAATTGTTTACACAAGTGACGCAATCCACAAAGTCTCATGTTATTCTGCACGCATATTATTTCGTAATTCATTGCTTTATGTATGTCATAACTCATTCGTTTTATAAGTGAAAAGTCACAGTTAGGAAGGGTAAATAAAACATTTTTTTAATGATCGTATTTTAATCCACTGAAAACATCAAATATGGTATTGTGTAGAATTGACAAACCTCAATACATATGGCAGTTGGTCGGGGAATTCGCCACTGTTATGTATTACTTATGTAAAACTTTGGCAAAATCTTTCAAATAGATAAACATTTTATAAAAGCCATCAAAGGATAACTGTACATATTCCAAAATGCTTATAATTTATAAATCGTATAACTGGAGAGGAATAAATTACTAAAATGGAATCGATTTAAAAACTTTTATCACTAATTGTTTAAGGTGACAAGGTTTGTAAAATGTGATATGGATAGGTTTTAAAAATAGGTTCACAATAGTATTACTGTGCGTTTAATTTGTGCAGTTAAAAACTATAATTATACCAACAAACTTTTAAATACGATTGACATTGATTAACATGAATATTCATACATTTTAAGTGACATGAGAATTGTATGTTTAAAAAAATTATAATAATTTTATGTTACACTTGAAAAAACATATTGTCAACACTTTCATTCTCTTTGTAAAAATTGAGACAAAAATACATTTGAATATAATATGAATAAGTGTCCGTTCAAACAGACCGGTGCGGATTTTACTCTTGGAGTCAATCAAACCATTTCTCTTCTACAGTTTTACAGCTTTCTCTAGATAAATATAAAAGTAAAATTAAACCTTATTTCTTATGTATAAATGTCAATTTTATTTGCGATAAAAATCTGCTCTATCTGCCCTGGCCAATGTGAATGGACCCTAAGAATAACAATAAAATGCTTTATTTCTACTATTGTGAACCCATTTCCTTTTAAAATTCAGTTAAATAACTTTAACATTTATGTATATATCAATATTTATGTACATATCAATAATTCGAATACAAAAAACGCATAAACCGTTTCTACAACTAAGCAATCATAAAATATATTCAAAACAAAACGGTGCATAACACTTAAACACAAAAATCTCTTATTGGTCTTAACATTTTTAAACTTAAAAAAAAATCGCTTTTCTTGAGGTAAGAAAGTATACTAAGCCCATTTCTAAAGTATTAATAATAAGCGAACGGCAAACGTGTTAAAAACCACTGAAAAATGTGAATTAAAAAAATCATTAAAATTTTCATAACCAAATCTCATCATCTGACTAGAATGTACCCTGTATTTATATATAAAAATAAAAAATTATATAACAAAATTAAAAAAAAATCAAGTCTGCTGTTATTCAATTATTTCTTTGGAATGTAATATTAATGATACATTTTTTAGTTAGTATGTAGTTACATTAGTAAAATCAGTCTCTTTAAAATAGCCCTGGAAAAGTCCGAGGTTTTTAAATAATACTTTTAAGTCAAATGAATTTAGTAGCATTTCATAAAAACTGAACAGATAAAAAAATCCACATTTTTTCTACATTATGGGGACCAAGCAAACAATAAATAACATTTGTAAAATACAAAAAAAAATTACATTTGCATGATGTCTGCTATAGTCTAAAAATGTAATATATTTTTCATTCAAAATCTCTAACACATATGTTATTTTCACAAGCAATGTGCATTAAAATTAAATTAATCATGTGCAGTAATTTATATAAATGTTTTCAGATAACTAGGCAACTCTTAATTTTCATGTTAAGTGTAAAGGGGATTGATGGATGCATGGGGAGGGCACTGCACAACACGCACATCACCTTGGGCCACCAAGATATTTGAAAAGAATTATAACTTAATCTACTAAATGTAACAGCAACAATATCTTAAATGCATTTACTCAGAGACTTTACATATATTTATAATTATAAGTTAAAAAGGCCCTTATGCATATTATACTTAAAAATCAGATTAAAGTCCTAAAGTTTATTTATAGCGCATTTAAATTAAATTTTTGAGAGTTGCTTTGAATATTAGCCAATTTAAATAAAAATAACCTAACACAAATTCCACTTTTACATAAGGGTACTAATTACTTAAACGGAAGTAAATAATGATAAATATTTGGCACAAGGAGGATGGCATTATCATAAGGCCAATTCAATGACAATATTAGGAATAATTCGTTTAAAATATTCTCACTAGCACCGAGCTTATAGTTGAATATGTACTAAATCTTCATTATCAAAGTAATATATAAGCAGATCTTATATGTCAAAATTATACATTCATATATGTCAAAGATGCACATTTATATCCTTATAAATATGCCAAATTGAGTTAAAATAAATGTTATGATTTAAAAATGGAAGATATTACATAAAGGGAAGCATATATAAATGTTTACATAATGGAATGATAAAATACTTATCATGAGATCAACATGAACAGAACTTCCTGTCCTGCTTTGCTTGAAGTTTCTGCAGGGATTGTCGCCTGCGTCCTGATGCACATAGCATAGCATATTCAACTGAATGTTCCATTCTGTAAAAATAATTATCTATGGTTACTTGAATTTCAAAGATATGTGTGAAGTTAACCTACATCAGTGGGGAGCGTGGTTGTATGATGATACATATATTTTGTTAAAAAAATTATTTAAAACCAATTATCTAATTCACAAGGAGAAAAAAATAACATCTTATAATAAAGTCTGCCTAAATGCTTATTTCATCTTGTTACTTCTGAAATGTTAATTTAAAATATGATGGTAATTTCATAGAAATAACATAATATTTTGAAGGGAAAAAAATAAATATGTCCATACCTGTACATGACTTTGTCTAAAAGTATTTCAATAGCTCGATCAATATTCTGTCCAGTTTTGGCACTGGTTTCCAAATATGGCAAGTTATAATTTTTGGCAAATTCTCTGGCACGGTTCTGGTTCACTAGTCTTTTTTCTTGTAAGTCACATTTATGACCACATAATACTATGTCAGGGTCATCACTTAGACTGTGGGTCTGAAATATTTAACACAGTAATTTTACTAAAACATTAAGCAATTGTTTTTTTGTTCATGTATCTTAATTGGTAATGAATGGAAAATAGTTTTAATGATTAAAACAGTATAGCAGCTGTTGGTTATCTGTGTGCATGTTTGTATAGATGTGTGCCACTGTCTGTGAAGAAATACACACTTAACAATGTGTCCACTACTTGAGTCTCACCAAGTCACCATAAAGATTAGTTGGCATTATCCTCACCTTCAATTGCTCAATCCAGTTTCGTACTTCTAGAAAGGAAGCCTCATTGGTCAAGTCAAATAGCAAAAGAAAACCCATTGCATCACGATAAAATGCTGTTGTCAAACTGCGAAATCTGAAAAAATTATTAAAATTAGTTAGAGAATGCAGGTCTATGCTGTAGCATAACATACATTCTGTAACATTTAAAAAAATATTACCTCTCCTGCCCAGCAGTATCCCACAGTTGTAAATGTATACGATGTTGTCTCCCATTTTGTTGATAGATCTTAAACAATAATACAATATTTTATGCCGTACATTGTTGTGGCTGTTAAATATTTGACATTTCAAATAAATGTAATAAAACAGTAATGCTAAAAGTACACATACCACAGTTTTTTCCCTGAAATCTATACCCACAGTAGAAATAAATTGAGTGTGAAAAACTCCATCAGTGTATTTGTACAAAAAACTTGTCTTTCCAACACCCGAATCACCAACGCAAAGTAGTTTTATAAGATAGTCGTAGTCCATATTTGCGGTAGACATTATGTTATGATAGATTGGCCGAGTCATTTAATGTTTTAATCACAAAAATTTTCATAGTAAATCTATCCTTGGTATTGAATCAAATAACAATAAATGGTTTACATGGACATTGCGATAATTGAAATTGATACAAACAAAAGATCAAACTTCAAATATTTTATATACTCTTTGCTTGAAATGTCAAATAGCGCAAGGCTTAAAACAGATTATGTTACTTTTCTTTATGGTCATCATCAACTGTACAAAGAGCAAAGAGTATATAAAATAGTGACAATGAGTTTGATGACCACAAACCACAGCCCATAAAGTTCATAATTTATCAAAATATTTCCATTAGTGCTTCTGTGGCTTCAGGTGCCTATTTCCTCTTTTAGATTTTATTTATAACATGCAATACCAAAACCTAATTTGAATAAATAACCTGGTCTTGGAATTCTTATCAATTACTTTTTGGCCATCATCAAGCCATCATGCTTTAATAACAATATGACATTAGTCTGTCAATTTAACTGTCAATCACTTATTTGTTTTGGTTTTTATAATAATGGTAAAATAACATTGGATTAGATCTTGTTGATATATCTTAAGAAGATTAACCAAAAGAGTACTAATATTAATATTGTGCCATCGGGCCTGTAAAATATAATGGAAAGGTTAAATGAAAATAAAGATCTTAAAGTGCAAATAGAATATTGGTAATATTTTTCTAAAGAAACCATTGTTTTAGTAGTATTTCTTCATGTTTTAATTTAAAGTAAAACTATTTTAGCGGTGCTTGTGATTACGGAGGGCATTGCCTTGCATTAGCAAATGCTATTAAAAAATGTACACCAAACGCTGTAGTATTATGCAAGAGAGGACGTCAAGGTTTGTTACGAAATTATTTGTAAAAAATATTCGTGTATTCGTAACGGACTTTTATAGGCGTTTTCCTTTACAGGTTCTTTTGAAATATTAATAAATGACAAACTTATTTATTCAAAGTTGCAAACAATGGCATTACCTGACTATGAAGAAGTAGTCAACGTTGTTTCAAATGTTTCTAAAGGAGACGAACCAAAAGAAATAAAAGGACAACAACCAATTAACTGTGCAATTTCATAACAATTTATTCAAAATATAACATTAACAAACCAGTGTAAAAAGAAAAATATAAGCTAGTGTAACAAAAATGTAAATACAGTGTGATGAAAACAAATTGTGTTTTAAGTATAAAACATGTGTTTACAGTATATAACACTTTTAAAAGTGTATTTGTTAGAATTCAGATTAAAATAAAATAGATAAAAAATTGATTTTAAGTTCAAATTAAACAAAAATTAGAACTTAAAAAACATTTAGAAATTATATTTGAAATAGACAGGCATTTACTAATTTATTTAACTTTACATAATGTTGTCATTACAAGATGACCAAAATTTAGTATGTTTTAAAAAGATATTTTACTGCATAAGAATCTTGAATTCATTCTAACTATTACAAATAATTGAAATAAAGATGTATTCCCTAATAACTGCTAAAATCTCATAGTCTTAGCTGAAAATAGATCAATACTTGTAAAGTTGTAAAACATTTTTTCTATTCTAAAAATCACAGTGATATAAAGGCAAGATAATTGTTGTTTCTGAGCTTCACATTTTTTACGTTGTCAAGGCCACCCTTTGAATATAAAATTGGCAATATTACTAACATCATTTAGTAGCACATATATTGGCACTAAGATATTAAAGTTGCTAAGTCCGTGGTATGGAATGCAATATATAAAATTGAGTTTTTTATTTTTATTTAAATATTTAGTGTTAAGGAACATTAGTTGTTTAGGAATGCGGAAGACACACTTAAACCTAAATTATAAAGACAAAAATATCCTGGCAGCACCAAGTTGTGTAACAATAATACATTGTTCTTATCTTATTAAGAATTAAAAAAAACTATTATAGATAGTATGATACTTGACAAATAACTAGTAAAAATCAACTAAACATAATGCGGATTGAATTTAGTTCAAATAATTATATTTTAGACATAAATTCATACATCTGCAAGTAAGTTCAAAATTCAGACTGTTTAAGATCTACTGGACATATTTTTTAAGGGATTCGATCAGGTATGTTTTTATCAAAATCAGATGTCTATTTCTATTTCTTAACATATAATTAAACTGCTATGTCACTTGTTAAATAGAATGCTTATTGTCAATGTTTTAATTCTCTGACAAAATAGTACAATATGCATACAATCTCACTACAAGAAATTCTGATTAACAAATGTAACTCAAACTTCATCTGCTTATATCATCTTCGTTGATCATAGGCTTCACAATAGAGTTAACTTTCAAAGCTTTATCTTTCATACCATTCACCGGACCTACGTAGCTTAAATATATGCCAAAACGCATTTTTCCTGCAAACTGCTCGGAAATAGTCCTCAGGGGTTCTGCAGTTTTTTCACCAGTTTGTTGGTCAATACAGATCATGTGACAACGCTGACAGGGACCGTCCACCTGAAAATGATATGAAAAATATGACATTTTTGCAACATATCCCTTCTAGGTTTTTGTACTGAAATCTTACAAAATACCTAACTGAGATTCATAGATAAAAAATAGATTTTAATTTAAAGATTGTACTTACAGAACTGTTTTACGGTTATCGAGCAAAACAACTCTATATTAACGTGTGATTTGTTCACTTACCTTAAATTCATGTTTTCCAATAATAATTCTATGCCATTCCCTTTCCGTTAACTCTACAGCCCTGTCAATTATTAAGTTGCCTCTAAAACGATCTGTCAGATTATCAACAGTGGCTGAGAACATTGGATCTTTGATTCTGCCATGCAGCCACCTAACAGAGGCCTTATTTATTAAAAGGAATTGAGCTTGATTGCATAGTGACAATAACTTTTGTTCACCGTCTGCATTTTTCTTCTGAGGTCTAACATCAGTGGATGATTGCTTAATTAATCTGAGGAATGAGATTCCTAATGCATTTGAAATCCAATCAGACACATCATCTCCGCAGTCATATCCTTTAACCATGTCCATGCAAACTTTGCTGGTACACATACTAGCAAACTTTGTTTTGTTCTCTATAATTGGCTCCAATGGCACAGATATAGATGGTTTACCTGAAAATATCATATTTTATTTTAAGAAACGAAGAATAAATCCGTGAACCAGAATCAAAATTTCGGTAAAGTGTCTAAGAGTGGTTTTGGTCTCTTCAAACACAGTCTTCTACTATTTTAAAAACTAAATTGATTGTAGGTTAAATTACAATATTTATACAAACCTTTAAAATGTAGTATTAAAAGTTTACGTTTCAAATCTATTTCCGGTTTGATCATGCACATCTGTGTACTTTGTTTCTGCGTCAAGCACACTCCATTTTCTCTTATTATCATCCATTCCCTGTCGTATTCGAAACCTTTGAGACCAATTTTCCAACTGGTTTTTATTTTGAATGCTCCGCAAGACTTTATAGGGAATATGGCAATTTCATCCAATATTATATCACTGCTTTCTAAAGGTGTTTCTGGTAATATATCATAACCATTGAAATAAGATCTTTCATTCAATAATTTTATCATTCCTTCTTTGTAGGCTTTTTTCACTGGTTTATATACAGAAAGTTCTTGAAGACAGGTCATTGTACGCTTTGGTTTCTTGAACACTGTCCGTACAAAACATCTACACACCATTAATACTAATTTGTCAACATCATTAAATGTATTATAGTATCCAAATGAGACTCTAATTGCTCCCGTTGGGTTACCATTTATCAAGTCTATTTCATCACCACACTTGTGTCCTGCTTTATACATTTCTTTCATTTCCCTGTTAGACGTATTGAGATGTCTTTGACATGAGCCGGAATTGCAAAAGCAGCCGGTTCTCACATTTATATTAAACAGATCTGCCATGTTTTGAAACTAAAAAAAAATATGGAAATAGTATTAATTCTTAAATGTATATAATTATCATTGGCATCAACAAAAGAAAAAATTACCTCCATAAAACCAACAAAGGATCCATCTTCTCTAAGAAGGTTGAATGTAACAATACCTCCTTGTATTTTTATGTCGGAGAAATCCGAATCCATATAAAGGACAACTGCTTTCTTGCCATTTGGATGGTGAAGCTCATTCAGCTGATTATACAAATCTTTTGCCAAGTAAAACGTGTGATGAGAGATTGTATCCATTATGTGATTATTAATTGTCTTAGGTATCAGTCTATGTAACATATCAAAGCAATGTTTTAAAGCCAAAATTGATAAAAATGGTAATGTTCCATCTTCCATTCTGTAATTTAAAAAAAGCATTTATGGATTGTATACAACAATAACACATTGAAAAAGAAAGTGTTTAACATACCTTTCATGAAGTATTTTCCTTTTGATATGAAAATTTTCTCCACTAATCACAATATCAACAGTTCCACCACCAAAATATCGTTTTTTACATAAAACATCAGCACTGGTATTTTTTACTAAAAGCGCTCCCAAACCAGTTGGGTAGCCAAATATTTTATAAAATGATAAACATACAAAATCCGGTTGCGTTATTGATAAATCTAAATTATTTGTGGGCACATAAGCAGCTGCATCAAGTAGAACATACCAATTGCAGTTCACTTTGCACAAATGTTTCATCAAATATCTATTCAAACATCCATTCTTTATATTTTGTATACAATCTAATGGATATTTAAAGCCATTGAAGTTACTTTTGGCTGGGTATGCCAGTAAGATGTTACCATCAGTTTTACTTTTCTGTCCACTTGGTGCTGGATGATTTTGCTTAATCGACTTGAGAAAATTATCATGAGATATATTAATAACATCTACATTTTTGTCCTCGGCAATTTCTCTCAGACCGAGGACTGATGTATGATTTTCATTGAGATAAACAAATGATCCACATTCAAAGCCTTCTTCTGTGTTCGACGAAAACTCAAATGATTCTACAGTTAATTTCAATGACTGCGTTGCCCCTGATGTGAATATTATTGAATATTTCGATGGATCTGTATGGAAATGGTTTAAAACTAAACAACGAATCTGCTCTATGCAATCTCTTGTGTATTTATCAGTGTGCGGATTCATGTAGACATTGTTTAATAAATCTTCATGAACATGTTGCAGTAATGATTGTGGGTACAAGGCAGCGCCAGCATGCTCCAAATAACATCGTTCTGAAATAAAATAAGATAACAGAGATTCACAAACAATATTGAAACATTTCAATAAAATGTTCAGTGACCTTTTCTGATTTCACATGAAAAACGGTAATAGCATGAATTTAGTTTACATTTGTAGTACACTTTGAAATGATGTAGCTCTTGTTGTTTTCTTAATTAAAAATTTATAACTCTCTTTTATTTATACACAGTATGAACGATACGATATAATTTCTTACCTCCTAATCTATTAAATTCACTTGTGATCGCTTGCATCTGCTCAGAGTCTATGACTCTACTTAAAGTTGTAGTTTCACTCATCGCTACTAAAAATAAAAGTTTAAATTTACTTCAAATGTACTTAAAACGATATAAAATTGATCCAGCTGTAAACATGTATTAGCAATAATGATTATGTTACATCAGACAATCATTTAGTGACCTTGTAATAATTTCACGCTATAGTAAACATCATTCTCGCACAATACTTACTGAAACTCACATACACTTCTAGTTATCTCATAATATATAACTACAAAAGTTCTTAAATATTTACAATTTGATAAGACAAATAACATGGTAACGTTTCTAATGTCATTGTGTGACAGTGACAGTTTTAGCACCCCTTGTGACAACGCAAACACAAAAACAACACAACTCTATAATGGCGCAAGCATTAGAAGGACTGTAGACTAGATGGCGCCAACATAAGTATGGCACAGAAATTAAAATTATGCATTTTAGAAAATAAATAGTGAATTTGTGCTGAATAAATCAGTTCTATTTTCCAATCTTTACAAAAACATGAGCAAATATAAATTTAAGAAGGTTATGCCTTCACATTTTTAGGCGCTTGTACTATCACTCTTTAGCATAGATGAATTTATAATCACACAAGGTAACATGATTGTGATATTGATTATTAATTAAGTTTTTTTTCTTTTATGTAATGAAAGGTAATCCATTTGTACATTGATTCCAGACACTGTCATTGGATTTGTCATCGCCTATCTAGAATGTAATATGCCTCACAACAAAGTTACCCACGCAGTTACCTGATATCTCTGTGGACTGTAGACTTAATAATGTTATATCCCTTTGGATGTGACGCCTATAATGTATATAAATATTAAATTGTATTTTTTAAAATATCAAAATTAAATCGTGTTTAGCAAATCCTGTGTAATATTTTATCTTCACACAAATGTACGTTACCAAATAAAATATATAAATATAATTCACTATTTAAACTTGCACATCCACATGCAAACGCACGGTACATAAAATACAAATATTTTAATACCTTTGTTTGAAATTAAAGTTAAAAAAAAAGATTCTTGAGAAGATGGAGATATCCTGCTGAAAGCAATTGAAAATTGACATATAAACAGACAAGATAAAGCTTAATCGAAGCGGAATATTTATATAGCAGCTAAAAATAAAATGTTAACGTATACTGATTTATCTTCTTAGATTAATGTAGCACTTTATGTAATTTCGAAGAAAGCCTATTTACTTTGTAATGAAATATTTAAGTCAGAAGAGATATTTTAAAAAGCCTTGCCTTTATATTATCATCTTAAGAATATATGACATGGTCTTTAAAACTAAAAGGCTCGTAATTAATGTAGTAATGTCTAAAGAGGCATACGCCCGGCCACCTTCGGAAGCACCGCCTTACTAAATTGCGTTACGGCAATTTAATTATTGCTTTTATGGAGGGCTTTTAGTAGCTTTTAGTAGCAAGCGGGCGACATGATCGACTCTTCTTAAGTGAATTGACATCCACGATAGAGGGAGCCCCTTTCACTACTTTGCCCCGCCAATTGTTTCACTTTAGTGTTTCGATAAGACACCGCCACAGATCTAGGAGTCCATTCAAAACTATTAATTTAAATGTCGAAATAAAAATACTTTTAAAGCACTTATGGAGTAAAAGCTAAAACTTTTAAAAGTATTGAAATTGCTCTTAAGCATTACCTTCTATTTTTTTAAAATACTAATACTAAAATGGACTGTTTTGAAGGCATTGACTAATATGTATAATTATAATGACATTAAAAAATGTACTCACATAAGAACTTCGATCCAATTAAATTTAAAGAATAAATGTTGAGATGAACCACATGGACCTCTTGTCCACTAGCAAACAGTCGACTGAGAAAAGCCAGTGAAAAAAATGTAAGCTAACAAAAATATCTTACCTGTATTTCGCGGGCAATCCTCACCAATTGTTTCTGAAAAAACAATAGATTATTTAATTTTGATTTCAATTGATGACCGAACATGTTTTGATTAGGACAAAAACTTTTCAATAACACAAGGTCATCCGTAACATTCAGTAAATTTTGAATGAAAACATAAATTAGTTAAAATAAAAAAGTCAAAGACGTGCTTTTTACTTAAGTATCTTTAGGACTTACTATCGTTGTTGCTGTCGCCAGGGACTTCGACCGCGGGAAATTAAAAAAGAATATAGTAAGTAGCCTAGGTGTTCTTTTCGACTATGTTCTACATATGTGCCTAATTTCATAGTAACGAATATCCAGCCTGCATCTGCTTATACACCCAAACGTTCGCATTTATAATATTAGTAAGATAATTAAATACTTAACAAATTTATTTTTTGTAAACATTTGAACGTTTTTTTTCTTTTTATATACGTTACTTACCTTCGAACTTATTTCCCATTTTTTAACAAAAATGTCACACGCTTCTACGTTTTTGACTTAGCATTTCTAAAAATCGAATCAATGCTCGAATCGATTCACAAACGTAGCAGAGCATAAAAGTGATATTATTTTAAGTTATTTTCCATCCATAGCTTTTAAAGGTTTGTCATTTTAACCTTCCTTAGGAATAAACAAATATATCGAGTTACGAAAACGATTGCATTAATTGTATGTACATATATGCATAGAGATCAGGTTGGGCCCTACTAAACCTTTTTGAATCAATTACTTGTTAATTCTCTAGGTTAACTACTAGTTTAAACATTGACTAATTAAATATTTAATTTAATCAATATAAATGTTTTGTAATACGATATTGAAGGATTTGTTTGTTTATAATATCGTTTTCTTTTTTAACGTAGGATTAAACTAAATACTTACTTATGGGGTGACTTGTCTTCGAAAGCTTTAGTATGAAATATTGTTATCGTAATATTGTTGCTATTTTTATTACAATTAAATACTTGACAACACTACTATTATTAGTTATAATATAAAACACAATTTATTAATTACCCAGATTGATAGTAAAAATGCATTATTTTGCCCAAACAACGTTAAACATTATAAAATATGTTACGTAAAATTAATGATGTCGCAAACTTTAATTAATAACACAATTAGTATCCATTATTATTACGTACAACGGAAATCAACTAAATTGCCGTGAATTTGATGTGTAATTCGGTCGGATCGGCACTAGTAACTGTCTATATCGGCACCTATTGTTCCCTTACCTCTTGTTCCTGTATAAGTTCTAATAGTCTGCAGCTTCCTGGCCTGTCTCGTGCGACTCCGGGCGCATCCAGGCATTGTGCTTGGCCGACGGCGATAACGTATTTAACCAGTTATTGATTTAACGCATCACATAACCTATACAGTACTGTGAATAACACAACATACATAACAAATACCTACAATATCACTACCTAATGTAGCTTATAAATCCATCTAACCCAAGTTGCACCGTGCGGAAAAAGGAAAAAATGCAATGCGAAAGAAAAAAAAAACAAAAACGTGTAGAAATACAAATTAGAATTGCACGCACTCGATGATCGATTGTAAGATAGTAAGAAATTTCGTATCACATACGTACATTTTATCGAAAATATCAGGAGAAAATCCAAATACGACATACACTTGTGAAACTAAATTAATTATTAAGACTAACCTTTAATTATTAAAATCCAAATGATCTTATTTTATCACAAACGACAAATGAGCTCAGATTCCGTAATCACCTTTCATTTATAGATTGATATGTGACGTTCCATTCATTATTATAGACATTATTCAAGTACTTGTTAAAACCAGCAAACAATAGTAAATTCTTTTCATATATGTTCACCGGTAACGCTTGTATACATCAATGAGGTAATTGGTTCGTTCCAATATTTTTTTCGTCGTCGAAACGATTGTTTATAAACCAAACAAACAGTTTTCGATTCAGTTTAAAAAACAATATTAAATTTCGGATGTTCGTAAGTTAAATATAAGCAACGCTAATTCGAAACATTTCCAGTAAATTCGACTTACGTATTTATTGTTTGTTAAATTGACATAATTTCATTTTACCTTAAAATTCAAATAAGATACAAGAACGATCCGTGTCTTTAATAGGTGCGAGAACAAACAAAACATATTAGGTAATATTTGCATGTGGCTACGTTTGAGTAAAGCGTAATCGTTAATTTGATAATAATCTTTAAATCTTCATTCTTGTAGGATGTCACGTGATATCTTGAAATCAACAGAGAAGAGATCTTACTTCTTACTGATATTATATATGCGAATGTTTAGATGGATGGATGTTTGTTTGACTGTCCAAAACGGCTGAACGGATCTTGATGAAATTTGGCATACATATAGTCTGGAAGAACATATAGGCCACCAATTGTTTTTTTTTATAATTCCCGCAGACGAAGTCGTGGGGGATAGCTAGTATTATTTTAAAACCTCTGACATTAAAATTTTGCATATGTTATTCGTACATGCCGTGAATTATTTTATCTCTAGCGCGAACAGAATTGAGGGATATAAAATTGTTTGGAAAAGCGCCAAATAAACACATGCGTGTTTTAAATTGACCATGTATGTATTATTCGTAACGCATACCTTGTTAAATTGTTCAATGACATATTGGTAACTACAAACATATTATGAATGTTACTGTCCTAGAGAATTATTATGATATAGAAAAAATAAATAATGCAACTTTACATTAAAAAAATGTTGGTATGTTGTAATGAATTTAACAATGATTTATTAAAACAATAGACATTCTTTATTGTACATATAAACTTGGTGATCACAAGTAATATGTAGGACATACATACGTTAGGTGTCGGTGGCGCAGTTGTTAAGCGCTTGACCGTACCGGACTGAAGTTGTCAGTTCGATCGAAGTTGTAGCAATTTATTGTTCGATCTCCGAATTTTATATGTACATCTATCCAAAGTTGTTTCGGTTAATGAAAATAAGTTAAAGAAGTTTAATGCAACCTAATAAGGGTAGGACCCGTGCCCGTCGATTGCGACATATATTGAACTGACGGCATACGTTTGAGTGATACCAAACATAAGTTCAAACACTAAGATTAGTCGTAATGTGCATTTTATTGCAAATATCTTATGATTTTATCGCCTTGTCTAGTTAATTATGTATCAGTAAATGTCGAAAATAAAGGTATCATGGCGTCAGTTTTAACGATTTGAATTGCATATTGTAAAGAATAAAAAGAAGTAAAAGTGAAGAAGATGATTAAATGCCTTTATATTTGAACATCTTTATTTATCTCCAAAAACAAAATAGTCTGGCTAGAAAATCATCGGTTACGTGAATAAAGAAAACAGTTAATTTTGTTTCGTTAATCACGGGTTATTGTGCCGCTTTACCGGTTACATATGACAACATCGGACAAAAACGTGTTATACAACTACGGCAATGAAAAGTTAAGGTCACAATTAAAATGCAAAACTTACGAGGTTGTTCCTTCCTTCCTTATCTAGTAAATGTTAAAAAATAGCTCTTTCGGCTATAAACATGCTAATTTTGGATCGCATTGCATCTAAATATTTATATTGAATTCTTCAACGATAAGTACTTTTAAATTTAAGCTTAACTATATCAACAAAATTATATAGGTTTTGTTGCTCCACAAAAACTACTGAATAACCTTTAATCTATTATACAATAACAATTTTTTGTTGTTTTTTTTATGCGTGTATATTAAAGAAAAAAATATAAGCAACATTTTTAATATTTATAACTGTATTTTTTTAAATAAATAATTTATGAATGCTGCACAAAAAAGTCTGAAAATTACGTAATCAAAGTCGCGGAAGGGATTAAATGCGTTGAGTGGTTCAGGATATCGATATAACTAGGTCAATGTTTGCCAATTTATTAATTAATAATCTTTTATTTTATAATATTTATTTAAAAACAACCTTGATCCGTACAAGGCGTTTGCGAAAAAAAAACTAAATATTTAGCAGTTTCCTTATTTGCAGAGGTCATTGTCTAGTAAAACTCGTTTATGAGCTTATAAAAATCAAGTTATAAATACACACCCATGCATACTAGTCTAGGTCTAATTATAGAGACATACCATCTAGACATGGATATGCCAGTCAACTACAAATTGATTAGTAATAAAGTCTTAATACGGTTATACTTATAAGGTTTTACGAGGAAGTACTAGGTCAGTATAGGCGCATTAATTAAAAGAGTTTGCGAGGTGCTATGACAGGATGGAGGAGTCACTTAGTGGTTGGAAGCAAAGAGGCTTTCTTTCTCTTTTTTTTCCGCTCTATTCTTCCAAAAACTCGGAAAGCATTAACGGATAGAGTTGGAACATTACACGAACAATCAACTTTATTAGTTGAAAAAATGCAGAAAGTCAAGGCTAGTTCTTAATTGTCCTTTTGAAATGTGACATCAAACTGTTAAAATATTTAGTAGTATTTTACTGTTAGTCATTAACGTATTACGTAATGTATATAATATGGAGGCGTTTGGCTTCTTAAGTTGCTATTGCATTTAATATTTTTCTTATTTACATGGCATTGGTTCCGGAGCGTGTCAATATCACTGAAGGCGCGTTTCTGTCGAGTCGTATTTTGTAACGATGGAATTCGGATGTGTGATTATTATCAATAGTGTATTGTTGTTATTAGTGAGTGACAGTGACAGTCATGAAATCAAAATTAAAGATTTCAGTGAATCAGAAATTTATTTAGATTCTATGCAATTAATATCTAAATCTAAGTACCCTGTTGAGAAACATTTTGTGACAACAGAAGATGGATATGTGTTGACATTGTTTCGTATACCTGGACAAGGACCACCAGTATTACTAGTGCACGGGATAGGCGATAGCTCTGACTCTTGGCTGGTGCTTGGACCGAACAAGTCGCTAGCATATCGCCTAGCCGATAACCAATTTGATGTCTGGTTGTTCAATTCTAGAGGAAATAAGTACAGTAAGAAACACATCAATAAAATATCGCAAAATAAATATTGGGACTTTAGTTTCGAAGAAATGGGATCAAAAGATTTACCAGCAACTATAGATTACATTTTATCTAAAACATCACAATCTAAATTATCGTATGTAGGATTTTCTCAAGGTACGACAATATTTTTTGTATTATGCAGCATGAGACCTTCGTATAATGATAAAATCAAACAAGCGATTTTGCTAGCGCCAGTTGCTACTATAAATAATATTCAAAGTCCTCTTATATCGCTCTATGCAAATATTTATGACAAATTGACATTTTTGGCTGAAGCAGGAGTCAACGAAGTATTTCCTTCCAATGTGCTTGTCAGTACGTATCATGCTAAGGTATGCAATTTGAGGTCCCCATTGAGGTTCTTCTGTGGATTAGAATACTATTTAAATTTCGGCTTAAAAGAATTGGATAGACTGCCGGATTCCAGGCTCCCTATTATAACCAGTCATATTCCTGCTGGAGGTTCGGCAAAAACATTTTTGCACTTTTTGCAAGGTTATGTTTTTAAGAGTTTTTGTCGATACAACTACGGAGTGAAAAAGAATATAGCCGTTTACAACTCCTCTACACCGCCAGTTTACGATTTATCATCCATCAGTGCACCAGTTACCTTAGTGGTCAGTGAAAGTGATTGGATTAGTACTATAAAAGACGCCAGATTAATCCAGAATAATTTAAAAAATGTTGTAAGAAACATAGTTATCAATACAACATTAGATTTTACACATTTAGAATTTGTCTACGGAGAAAGAGTTAATTCTGTTATAAACGACCCTATCATAAGGTTAATGAAAAGTTTTTAATTTATTATCCTTACTTGTTTAGACTGATTATTGTTTAAGTCAATAAAGGTTTGTGTAAATGTTAGTATTTCGTCTCTAGTTTATTATTACACGAGGAGGTATCATAAAACATACACAAAACTGTGTAGAAATGTTTATTTTAGGTTATATATAATCTAAACATTGCTTAGTGTAGTAAAAATAATATTCTTTAATTGTTATGTAATAAATAAGAATGTAAATAGTAAATAGAACTCGTTTCTAGTTATAAGTGCATAACTTTGTAATACTATCAACACAATGTATATAATTATACAATGTATGTATAATAAATATAAACAAATTAAAGAATGGTAATAAATATTATAGGAAACATGAAGTCAGCTAATCATAGTCATAAGGTCATACAACAGAATACAAATATGTATTTTTTGTAATTAAAGCTGGTTTGTTTTGATGTACTGACACGGTTGTAAATATTTGTTTTACAATTAATTATTTTAAGATATTTAGCCATATCAAATTATTAACATAGTATTTGATACGCCAATTGATACTATAAACAATAAAATATTTTTTGGTAATGTTTAAATTGAAGGTAAAAAAACACTTTTCACAATTGGGACACTTTTCCAATGTTTCAATTTTATTTTACAATTTTGAGATACTTTTTGGAAAATTATATATTTAGTTAGTTATTAAACAGAATTCTGGATATAGGCTTCTGCAATAATAGGCCAAAGAGATCGACTACATGCAATGGTTTTTTGTAACCTTCACCCGACCGTAGAACCGATAAGCTATGAAGGTTCCATCCGTCAGATAAATTGACCGAACTAGAATAAATTGTGGTAAAAACATTATGATGCGGTAAGTGAACACAGATGACTTAATTTTTTTCTTCATTTAAATATTTGCAGATTATTTAAAACTAGCTATCGCCCGCGACTACGTCCGCGCGAAATTTAAAAATAACTTAATTAGTAGCCTGTGTTCTTCCAGATTGAGTTTTACATCTATATGTCAAATTTCAGAAAAATGCCTGCAGCCGTTCTGGAGATACCTTCAAACAAACATCCATCTAAGCATTCGCAATTATAATATTAGTAAGAAAAGTAAAATAATAAGATTAACTATCATTTTCTAATGACATTTGAAATATAATATTGTCTTTTGTTTAAAAATATACTAATGTCATCCCTCTTTATTCTTTATAAGAACTGTGACACAAATACGAGATACGATCAAAAGTCATACAGATGTTGTGAGAAAAGACACGTGCTCGTGTCTTTTTACCTGATGCAAGGTTATGTTTAATTAATAATACTATTGTTTAGATTTAGTTAATGTAAACTAGCGCGTAAAATAGCGATAGAATAATAACCTATTGTGATCTTTTGTTATTGAAATTAAATGAATTTATACGCTATTCGGCTTTTTACATATTTTAGTAATTTATATTAGAGATTAAATTTTTTATGTGTTGTAATAACAGAAAAATAAAAGGGTCTATGAAACCTTGAACGCGGTAGAAGTTATAGTACGTTAGATTTTTACTTTAATATTTAATCGATTGTTTATATTGTTTAGTTTAGCCTAATGGTTAAGGGTACGGATTTCCGATCACGAATTATTGTTGTAAACCATATCCTAGCTCAAGCCTAGAGCTTAGTTGGAATGGTAAAAGAAATATTAGTAAATTTCCAAAAAAAATAAACTTCTAACATTAAAAAAAACTTGTGAAACAGTTTTATTATTATCTACATATTTTAGTACCATAAGTAAACAATTATTATTGCTATTTAAAAACATAATTAGGTGAAATTCGGGTTATTGAATCAGTATGGGATAATTGTTAGTTTAGATTGTAATCTGTTTATAAATGTTCTAGTCGTTGTTAACAATAAACTTATTAACCGTTTTTTTATTATTATTTTAGAATAAGAATAGATTTAGTGTGAAGGATTCTAATTTGTTATATTTATTTTACCATTTCTCTTATCTATGCCAATAAACCGTGATTTTCTTAATTTTCTTTTCTCCGTACTTTTACTGTGTACAACCCCTGTTTTTAATTTATTTCCTAACTGTAAAATAAATAGTAAAGTAAAGGACTCTCTGCTCTAGCAAGCCAATCTCTTTACGGCTCTTAACCTTTGCTATTGTTTAAACTTCGTTCAACATACAGAACAAGATACTATTCTGTTTGGAATTCTGGTTCACTTATCATAATGTTCGTAAGGAAATTTTGTTATATGGTAGTTGTAGCTGTACGGGCTTAGTTGTGTCAATAATATTTATAAAACAGAGAATCGTAGTCAATTAAAGCCGGCAAACGAAACCAACGTGGCGTTGGTTCGAAAAGCAATATTTATATCGTTATATCGGATGAGCGGGCGTAATTGAAAAGCGACGTTCGCAGCGCTCGACTCGACGTACAAAAACTGAACGTAAAACAAACAGAAAGGTAGGCAGGGGCAGACGGCTACATTCACCGCTGGGCCAAAAATTAAAAAACTCCAACTGTCCGGGCCGGTGTCGTGAGCAGGCGTCCATTTCGAATTGCCTCTCTACACTCAATTAAACGTTGAAAACACTCTACTTTGTCCGCGTAATGAACGTTGTCGGGGCGCACACTCACCTACGTCATCCCGCTCCTGTACTGCCCTTGCAATTAAATTAAAACAATACCCCGACCTGATTAAACCAGGTGCTAACAAATAAAATAGAGGCAAATATACCTTTAATACATTTTATTGTTAAAAGATTTGTTCTTCTATGGAACTGGTACCCTTTCGTTTTATCTACGTCATCATATAGTATCTGCTCCTCAATGAATGTGAATGTTAAGGTCCCAATATGTAATTCATTACTCAATCACCTCCAATCAAATAGTTAATATTTAATTATGTTAATTAAATTTGAGATCGTTTTTATTAATTCTTAGTTACTACGAGACAAAAAGCACGTAGGCAATAGTAACCTCAATATTAATATTCTTACAGGGAAATATAAATATGCATAATTAACGTAACATATAAATTCATCTAAAAATACGTGTTTGATTTCGCAACTGATACCCTTTTCAGAAGAGCCTTGCTTCTGTTTCAATATTTAACCTCAATAACAAAGTCTTTTCATTGAGGTAAAATTCAAACGCCAATATATAAATAGAAAAGTTTTATATGAAGTTGAGTCGGGAATACGTCGGTTACACAACAATAGCACAAAGCGAGGATCAGACACCTATAGAATATTTACCTGCGCGACGCTCGGTCTGTCTGTGTGTCTGTCTGTCGCCGGGAACGATGCGATGCCGTGTCGATTTGTCGGCAGGCTTTATTTCCGCCTGTCGCGTGGAAATGCGATAGCGGTTATATTTTATTTCCAATATTTCAGTAATCGAAATAGAAACACGGCTCTCGGTTTTGTGAAACATGTCTGCCAACTGAAATAAGCGGACGGCCTGTGCGGGTTTTTGCTTTGTAGATAGCTAATATTTTCCATTCACCAGGATAACATTTTCACGTTCTGTCTTTGTTGAATATCGCTTTTGGTTGTATATTTTTATCTAGTGTTTCGAAGTGATGACTATCGTTGAGAATTAATTGCTTGGTATGAAAACTGAAATCTGACATTCTAATTTCTTTTACATTTTATTAATTTTCATTGTCAAAATTCTTTATGGTAGATTTGCAGTTAAGAGATTATTGTTAAGGGTACGGATTTCCGATCACGAGGTCGGGGTTCGAATCCCGCCGTTCGACTATTGTCGTAAACCATATCCTAGCACAAGCCTAGAGCTTAGTTGGAATGGTAAAAGACATTTTAGTAAATTTACAAAAAAAAATATTTAAAAAAAAATTCTTTCCTTTCTGCAGTTACGTTATGAAACGTGTTATTTATATTTCTTCCAGAACGTTAAAGTCTTTGTTTGTGCAATGTTAATAAATTTCGATTTTCAATTGTTCATTTCCATTCACCGTAAAATTACTTTATCCTGATACTTATCGTTCTCATTGTTTTTTAAAAGATAAAATAAGGGATGATGTGCCGAAACCCAAATTGTGGTAGATTAACAAAAAAATAACAAATCCTGTTACGAAACGATGAAACGAGTTATTATTTTGCAACTCAAATTTAAATTGAACTGTCAAATGCCAGTGTGGGGCAGAAATGTAGGGAAGCACACACGAATGAAGGCTGCCGAAAAATAATGACAGGCGCTCGTGTCGCGCGCCTCGGTCCGTCCGTAGATTAGATTCCCCCCAGTGGTTTGACGAAGGTCAGTTTACCACAGGATGTTAAAATTGCGTAGAGGATATTTAGTTTTTGGCATTTTGAATAACATGGAAAACGTTTGCAAACAAAGTTACTAAAACAATCATACTTTATAATACAATTGGATATTTCTTTTATTTACCTGTAAAATATAAAATGTTAAAGTTTTGTAGTAAAGTAATTGATATGATTTCATTTGATTATACTCAAATAATTGCACAATATAAAATCAGGATAAATAATATTTAAAAGCGTCAATAGCCTAATGGTTAAGGGTACGGATTTTCGACCACACGTTCGAGAGTTCGGATCCCGCCATTCGACTATTGGCGTAAACCATCTCCTAACACAACTAGAGCTTAGTTGGAATGGTACAAGAAACATTAGTAAACTAATAAAAAATTGCTAATATCTTATATCTTTAAATGAGCAATTCTTGTATATATATATATATATATTTAGAAACTCGGAATCGGCTCCAACGATTTTTATAAAATTTAGTATACAGGGAGTTTCGGAGGCGATAAATCGATCAAGCTAGGAATCATTTTTAGAAAATGTCATTTTATTTGTGTTTTATCGATAATCAACTTCAACATAAACTTAACTTTTTCTATCGGTAAGATCGAAAAATATTATTCATATTTCATCATTTTATTAGTAATTCGTACTTAAATATAATTTCCAAAAAACACAATTTAAAAAAAAATACCGAGCAAAGCTTGGTCATCCTGATTTTTTTATATTAAAGAAATACATACATCACTATCTAATAGCCTTTATAAAATACCTAGCAAATAACCTTATTAATGTGGACTAAGGAAAGGTTGCGTATTTTTTTAAG